AAAAATCATTTAAGCTTAAGGGGATATAGCGATGAATTAAAAAAAAAAAAAAAAGAAAAAACAAATACACACACATGGATGTTTCGTAATAAAAGGACAAAATCTTACAATCGGTTTTCTGTTATTCAACGAATGAAAATAATCTCGAGCAAAAGCATTTCGATCTATAAAACGTTCGAATAAAATTCACGTGTCTGTTACTTACTACCCATTCTCGTTCACTATCTCACACGTGAACACATCCATATTTTCGCGTTACACGAGATTATTGAAAACGACTACGGTATGTTAATTATTCTCCCGTTCCTTTTTACCTCTCTCTCTCTCGAATCTCTTGAATCTCTTCCTGGTTTTTTAAGCTTCGCAAGATAATTACTTGCCCGTCGAGAAATAATTTATTCGCGCGCGACTATGAAAAAGTTTTCGCATTTTTTTTTTTTTTTTATTCTCCTCTCCTTTTCTTCTTCGTTTTTGTATTTTTTTTTCTTTTTTCCTTTCGTTTCTTTCGTAAAGAACGGTGAAACGAAATATCGGACGTAATCGTTCGTTATCGTAGCAGAGAGAATCGGGAAAAAAAGAAAATAAAAGAAAAGAAAATAAAGGAGAAGAGAATAGAAGAAGAAGAAGAGGAAGAAGAAGAAGAAGAAGAAAAAGGAAAGCATATGGTCAGATTCCGTTCGTTTCGTTCGCAGATACACGTAATACGATCTTGGGATAATGAAAAAGCGCTTGGAAGATACATCTCGTTTGCTCTTGAAATCTACGATGGTATGGTAGAATGTTTGTTGCTGTTTCTGCTGGTGTTGCTGTTGTACTGTTGTTACTGGAAGAAATGAAATTTCGATCGTCTTTATCTCCTTCTCTCTTTTCCATCCAATTCCGTAGGACGAATTTCATCTTCCATCCGTTTCATGGCTCGGAATACGCGGAATCTCTCGTCCTACATCTGAATCAACAACGTTGAAAGGTACTATTTCTTGAACACGATAGGACAATCTTATTTCATCGGATAGACTTGGATGATAGAAACGCGCTAGATAAAGAGTTGAAGAAAGTTCGAAGAAGAAGAAGAAGAAAAGTGAAAAGGGGAGAGGGAAAAAAACACGTTCCCTATTCTTACTCGTGTTCTTCTTCTTATTCTTCTTATTCTTATTATTCCTCTTCGTGAAAACGTTACGATGCTTACAACGCGACATTAAATTCCATTCATAGATTCTTTTCCGAAAGACTCGAAAATACTTGGCAAAATTCCATCGGTACGGGGTATAAACCATCGTTGCGCCCACGTAGCTTAGCCATCATCCTCGTTCTCGTTCACGTCCTCGTCCATTTGCTAAAGAAAAAGAAGAAGAAAAAAAAAGAAAGAGTAGGGGGGGGGAGAAAAGATAAAAGATTCGATAATAATTTCACGACTTTTTACGTTTCCGGTAAAAGAAATTCACCACTCGTCTCGATTATTCCTCTTTCCGGTTTCGTGCTTGAATGTATGCACTCGAAGATCTCAACGGACAGTTACGAAATAACGTGACGAGTAGTAAGGTAAGGGGAGGAGGGTGGGGGGATCAGGGAGGAGAGAGAAAGAATAAAAAATATAAGAAAACTAAAAAAAGGGTAAGGAAAGGATTGGGGGTAGGATTGGGGGGGGTGGGGGGTGGTTTACAACGAAAAAGAAACTCGATCGTCGTCGTGTCTAGTTTTCTTTTTCTCGTGTACACAGCTATAAGAAAGGATAACAAGAGATTACCAAGAGGTTTTTTGTTGAAATAAGATATAAAGATATTCTCTGAGAGATATATACGAAAAGAGAGAGAGAGAGAGAGAGAGAGAGAGAGAGAGAGAGGGAAATAAAAGTATTAGTAAGCGGGGCCTAAGAAAACTTAAGAGTTTCAGAAGAGAATATATTATATGAGAAGCTGAAAGAAAAACAGAAAATAAAAATGAGCATAAATGGGATAAAGGGGAGAAAAAAAACATATATATATATATATATAGATAGAAATATGGAATCAGCTTTGACGTACGTTTAACGATAAGAATAGTCTTCGACGAGCTTTCTGGGGTGGTATGGAGGAGAGGGAGAGAGAGGAGGTGGAAGGGGTACCTTTGCTTTTCCTCCATAAGACGCATAAGAGTCAGAAGAGAGAATCTTTCCTTGCATACATATATACGTATTGTATTCTTCGCAATACTTATAGAAGAAAAAGTAGGAAAAAAAAGGGAAAAATAAGAAGAAGAAGAAGAAGAAGAAGAATAGAACTGAAGACTCAATCCGTAGTATGAAATTTCTCGTATATTACGAGCACAGAAAGAAAATAAATACGGACTAAGACTGGAGTAGTTTGCCTGTAGGGCGAATCAGTCTGCCAGGTACTCTTCTTCTTCTTCTTCTTCTTCTTCTTCTTCTTCTTCTTATACTTCTTCTTCTTCTACTACTACTACTACTACTATTACTAATACTACTAGCACACAAAAAGAAGGAACAAGTACTACAAGGCGATTTTCTTTGTGCCGGAGGAAATGCGCCAGAGATGGCTGGCTGTCAGTGCTTGGTGCTGCTGCCAGCGTAGGAGAGAAAGTGCCGAAGCAATTATCGTAATGGCGGTCTTCAAACCAGAACGTCGCGAAATGATTACGAAACTAGAAGGAGGTACGGTCTGCTGGTGGTATATTCTTAAGAACCATCAGCAAAAGATAAGAGAGAAAGGATCTTCGATATCCAGTCGTGTCAAAGCTCCGATTTCCTCTTTTCTAAACCCCCCCCCTCCCTCCTCCTCCTCCTCCTCCTCTTCTACCGGAGAGTCGCATCTTTATCTAGAAAGAAATATGACAATATTATTAAACCGGTATTACGTAACAGCTTTAGTATTATTCCGAAATGTTACATGAATTCGTTTTACTAGAGGCAGTTTTTAGAATTGTTGGAATTTTTTTCCATCGGCTTTAGAGACTTTTTTTTTCGTTCGAAGGTAGAAAGTAAATGGTTTCTCCTTCTTTTTTTTTGTTTTTTTTTTTTGAAGGGAGTCGATGAAATGGGTATGTAGGACAAGAGAAAGTAATGTGGGGGAGAGAGAAAAAAAAGGGATAAAAAGGATTGTGTATATGTGAAGCGAATAATTTATAGTTACACGAACGTGTGTGTGTGTGTGTATACAATGTGATTAAAATATTATCATTAATAATAATGATAATAATATTAGTAATACTGATATAATAATATGATAATGACAATGACGATGATTTAATGATAGTAACAATAATAGATATGATAATAATAGTCATAGAAGATAGGGTGAAGTAGAGTGGAACGTAACAGCAAGTGTCTATATATATATATCGTTTTACGAATACATATGCGTTTATCTAACACAATGACATATAACATTCCTCTGCTATTCTAGCGAACAAGAGTATCGACTTTTTGCAATTGTAATTTCTCGATTACATTACCAATAATACCAGCTCGATACCGTTCGATATCGTTTTCTTTTTCATGCAACCATGACAGCGGTAGGTACAGGTGGCTGCCTTCTATAAGCTAGACGTGCGATATTGATTTCAGATTTCAATTTAATGCCGCCTCGCGATATCCGAAGCACGATCTTCCAATACCAATTTCGCGTTATCGGACTTTCACTTGATGGCGAAAGAGAAAGAGAAATAGAATGAGAATGAAAAGGAAAGAGAGAGAGAGAGAGAGAGAGAGAGAGAGAGAAAATGAAAAAAAAAAAAGAAAAAAGGGGGGAAAGAAAAACTAACGTGGAACCACAAAAGACTTACGAAAAATCATATCTAAATGCGTAACCGTATGTGTGTGTGTGTGTGTGTCTGTACACGCTCGGAAGGAAGTATGTATGGTTATGCCAAATATTCCCTTTTTTTTTTTAATAATACTATTGTGTATATAACAGGGGAAAAAAAAGGTTCTTCGTATTTCGATCCAAAACTCATATTTTCTTTTTTTTTTTTTGTTTTTTTTTTGTTTTGTTTTTCTATCAAACCTACAAAATTTTTGGATTACTAATAAATAGATATCGTAGGGAATTTGGACATTCAAAAGAACTAGAACTTCGTTTTGATTAATTGAACGTTTCGTCCCTTTATTGGGACTTCTTCAGCAACTTAATCTCTAAAGTTCAGCGTCTTTTTTATTTAAACAGACATACATTTTTGTAATATTCAAAACACTATACATCTAAACTTCGTTATCTCTTGATCCTTACTTTCATTTGATTATTTACTTTCAATATCGTGAATTTTAATGAATCGATCATGTTGGTCAATTGTTTTCTTACGCGTAATTTCATTAACATTTTTTTCAAATGATTCGATTCGTCCAAAGCAAGGTGCATCTTTGACATCAACGTTTCTAAATTGAAAACATTCGAAACAATTTTGTATCATATAAAGTGATACTCCATCACCGTTCATAAACATCATCAATTTCGTTAACAGTCTGAGTCGTATCCTTCTCTTTTTACTTTCTTTTTTTTTATTTTTTTTTAATAATAAAATTTCCAAACGCATCGAATTTCTTCTTTACTCGAACCCATTTTTAAAACGCACTAACTTGATCAAATGAAATGAACAAACATCGCAACTTGTTTTTTAATTACTCCATGACATGTTACATTTAATACTCACGCAAATATTGCCAGATCCGATTAATACTGCGCGAAAGTTATTTCAAACAGAAAATTATTTGCCGAGAAAATACTAGCGCCGAAAAAAGAAAAAAAAAAAAAAAAGAAAAAAAAAAAAGGAAAATAACATTTTTTCAAAAGTTTAACCAAATCAAATATATTTGATTAAACTTTTCGTGACAAGCGTAGTTAGTCGTCACTGGTACGCCACTCTGACGCTTAACAGGTCGTTCTATTTGTTCCTATATTTAGTAGATGTCGGATATAACCGGCGTTAGATCAGTACGAAGAATTTAGAAGAAATGATAATTACAATAGGATTAAACATATACGTACATTCTCGTATTCGTTATTTTTCAGTTCCACCTCTCAAAATCGTGATCTCCGACGAAAGAGGCATAGCACGGGACCAAATGACAGGACCATACTTACAAGGCGATACCCTAATACTTTACTGTGACGTTTATGGCGGTAAGCAACCAATCATTTCATTTAATACTACAACGATAAATAATTTATACCTATTTTCTATAAGATCAATCAATGTGTGTCAGCGGTTATTATCAATCAAATAACACGTCACGAAAGGAAAATAAATTTGTATTCATAAAGCTAAACGATTAAAATTATTTGACAACGTAAACAAATTCAATTATTTTCAAATTAAATAAAAGAAACATATTTTGTTGGTCGTTTATTTTTTTCTAAATAAAATTAATAAAATCATTCAGTTTTGATAGAAACGATTTACAACAAATTCAGGTGGGGGTTAGAGGAAAAGCTTACAGAACACTTATAAAATATTTCAACCTTAATTTCGTCGAAATAACCGTTTCTTGCATCAGTACTGAAGTAACCACCAATCCTGCAAATCTTGTGAAAGTAATTTTTCTAAAGAAATTATTAAAGGTTACATTATAAACGCGAGTCAAATGAAAATATTTCATCGAAAATATTGAAAATACAATTTTTATTTGATGGATGAGACACATTTCGCGACTGAACGTTTAATTATTAATTATTTAAATAAACTATTGATTTTTCGTATACAAATATTAAAAAATATCAAACATCGCACTCATTCGAGTAAAATTTCGATTAATTTTTATTTATTATCAAATACTATTTCGAGAAATTATACCGACATGAATCATATAAAAACAATAATATCTATTTTTATGTGTAATATTTAATTAAATCACAATTTCCTTAAAAGAAAAATGAAATACAAACATTGAGGCCCCAACGAGCTTAATGTACAAAAAATCGATATTTAAAGGTTACATTTCATATATTCAATATTATTTCAGAATAAATTAAATATTGTTATAATACACATATTTATATTGTTCTTTATTTGTACAAATAATTTTGACTTTTTTCTTTTGGAAATTCAAGTGTTAATTAACTACGAAATGCATCGAAAAATACTTTTATTAAAAATATCGACAATTTTTGTCCGTTTAGAAGTTAACCCTTGGACGGGAGAGGGATATCTCATTTCACTTGTCGTAAAATCCTAGTTTTATTCAATTAAATTTCTTTCATTATTTAATAAGTGACGAACGTCCGATAAGAACTGTAACGTCACGTGAAAAACGACATACGTCCGATAAATTTGAAATGTAAAATGTTACGAATGAAAATGAAAGAAAGAGAAAAAGATCAAAATATTAATTATAATTATATATATATAAAATATAGTCATTGCTTAGAGAATATAGTCCCATCTTTAGAGAACGAACAATACGAACAAACAAACAAAATAAATTTGTCCGACGTTTCGAATATTTCTACAAAAATACGATAGAGATTAATAAAAAGGAAAAACAACAAATAGTTAGACACTTGGATTCGATTCGTTTCTACGCGATAAATCGAAATCAATTTCGATAGGAGAGAAAAGATGAATGAAATATTATCCATTTTTATATTTATATATTTATATATATAAAACGTATAATTTTTTGAAGAAATAAAATATATACCTACCTATATATATATATACGATACCTCTGTTTCCTTTTTTTACAGGCAAACCGCCGCCCACTTTGACCTGGTACCGTAACAACAATTTCATGAATAACAAAACTATGAATGTACGAAACGGCGTGACGCGCAGTGAAATCGTAATAAAAAATTTGGAACGAGACGACGTTCTCTCGCAGCTGACCTGCAACGCGACGAATAATAACGGATCGTTCACGCTGTCCTCGACCATTCTACTGGATATGAATTGTAAGTATCTATCCGTTTCGAAACAATCCAAACAAAGGAAACAAAACGGGGTGGGGCTTTGCAACGACGCCTCCAGTTTCAAGTAGATACGACGAATGAACAATGAAACAACTATAAATATTCCCTTAGGTATCTTCTTTCTCAACAGCTCCAACCCCCAACCCCCACTCCTGTTAACAATCGACGACTCTTATTCGTCCATTCAACTTTAGATTGACTCAAATCTATCTATCTATCTATCTATCTATCTCTATCGAAAAGTTAAACTTTACATATATCTTATATTACCAATTCCAATTCGTTTCTTTTCTTTCTGTCGCGTTTTCTGAATACAAGCGTTCAATAGCTTCATGAAATCTGTACAAATATTACAGGGGATGTATAAGAGAAAAGAAGGAGGTGAGGAAGGGGGGGGGGCGCGATGATTCTTTTCCGCGTAAAAATTAAATCAACGAATATTCCTGTATGTTTACAAAATATTTCTACGTTTACTAATCGATTTATAATAATCCCTATTATACACAAACGATTGTTATTTTTCCGCTTTTTATTTTACGATTCCCGTAAAAATGGCGACAATTATAAAATATGTAAACATTTGAATAGCGTGCAATTGGACGGGAAATAACTGTTACGTAAATTAGGAAAAATGTTTATAGTTGATGACAAAGGCTATATTGAAAGAAATATTTCAATGTAGGCGATGATTGGCAAAAAAATGTTTCAACGTGATTCACCCGATAAAACGTTCAAAAAGAAATGTAAAGGAAAAAAACACAAAAAAAATATATTTCGCCAGATATATTATTCGAATTTTCTTTTCTTTTCTTTTCTTTTCTTTTTTCTTTTCCTCCCATTTAAAATAACAACGGATAAAATTTTTGCGCCGAATATTCGAATACAATGGTATATAATAATCATCAACATTTATTGTTGCACGCACGTCCTTTCATCGAAGCTTATTTTTCACGAGAGTCACGAAAAAGTATCGAAGAAGAAGTTGTGACGGGGGAAAAAGAAGTGTTATCACAGTGAGGGGGGAGAAGGAGGATACGAGAGTGGATAGTGTCTCTGAGTCGTCTGGGGTAGAGTTTTAAACAAACTAAACAAAACCAAAACAAGAAGAGGAAAAAAAAGGGAAGAAAAATCGAAAAATGCATTTATTACGAAAATAATAAAAAAAAAAAAAAAAAAAAAAACAAGTGGATTTTGCGATGGCAGATATCGCTCGTAGTGCGAACGAATGAACCAACGAACGAACAATCGTAGAAAATACCATATCGCTTTTTCACAAGAGCGAGTTACGAACGATCGACGAAGAGAACCTAAAAAGTGAGAGAGAGAGAGAGAGAGTAGTATTTCGATGGTACTTTGTTATTGACATGGGCATCGGTACGTTGCGTGATGTTTATCGGGATAACAGAAAAAAACCCGATGGTCATTTTTCTAGCCTCACCTGCGAACTCGACGAGAAAAATACTGATAGGAGAAAAAGTAAGTGACAGAAAGAGAGACAGAGACAGAGATATATATATATATATATATATGTGTGTGTATACATGTGTATATATATTTTTTGATAGTATTGTATATAAAATGCCGATCAAGATAGGAGGATTTTTCGGGCGGCTATACGCCGTTCGTCAAGTTGCCTTTTAAAAGCGTCGAAAGCGGAGTGGCTAAACGTGACCGAGCTCGAAAGCAAGTTTAATCTCGACCACAGCACACTGTTATTATGAAAAGATACATCTACCTCGACCTGATGGTGTCCGCATAAAAACCTGTTATCTCACGATCGTGCTATAAACTCTCTCTCTCTCTCTCTCTCTCTCTCTTTTTCCCTCCATCCCCGTACCCCTAACCCTCCCACTCTTAATTTATGCAACGCGTTACAGTTTCTTGGGTAGAAGATGAGAGGAGAAACCATAGTCCCATTCGAAAGCGTTGCTACTATTACACAGTTACCATTACTACCACTGTGTATCTAAACTACTATTCGTTAGAATACTCCAAAAAGGGGTATGCTAAAAAAGGAACAAAAAAAATCAACAAACAAAGAAAGAAAGTAAGAGAGAGAGAGAGAGAGAAATTGTGCAGATGTTATCCCGTAAATCCTCGTAACACTCCAGGTACCGGAGATCAAAAGCCTTGGTAGCAGTGCGATACGCACGTTATGTTTCAAGTAAATCAAGATGGACGAGACACACACAATACACAGTCCTAGATAGAAAATATAGACTCGTTTTCTCTCTACCCTCTTCGCTTAGGAAACTTCGTGGATTCCCCATGGGTCCTCTGGATTCTTAAAGAGAAACGTGTCGCCTTCTTCTTCTTCTTCTTCTCCTTTGCTTACTGTGCCTAAAAGACACCTTAAAAAACCGAGATAAAGGAAAACGATAAATGTTAGGGAAGTGATGTTTCTTGTAATCATTAAAAGGGGTAAAATGTTTATGTGAGAACAAAATTTACTCTCTCTCTCTTTCTATTTCTTTGCAAAGTGAATTTCATTATAACGCACCATCAACCCCCTTTACATCTTCGATAACGTTCGATGGCAAATACCGCAGCACGTTTTATCACACCGCCAACATTTTATCAGTGCCCGCACGTTTAATTTTGTTTCTGTTCGAGAAAGAAACGTTTTATGATAACCATATTCCACCTCCCCCCTCCCACCCCACGACCATGTTTTCTTTTCATCTTCTTCTTTCCCCCCTTTTTTTGTCCTCCTTATGCGAAAATACTTGATTCGACATTATTATTATTATTATTATTATTATTAGTATTATGTATTATCAGTATTATTATAATTATTGTCGCCGGTGCCAGTTTTGTTGTGTAGTCTTTGTTTTTATTGTCGTCATTATATCGCTTTTTCGCGGTGAACGCGCCGATATTATCGTTTCTTTCAATAGTCGCATTCCGTAGGTACTGCATTTTAATGGGGTAAACGAATTAAAACAAAAATAATTGAAAGGAAGGTAAGGACAATGGACGAGATGAAGAATATGCGGAATTTAAATGGGCATAAGTAAATATACTGTTTGCACGGGAATTATTAAACAATGTTTATGGACACGAAATGAAAAACTCGATTGGCGTAGAAAAATATTAATATTACATTTAACATGGATTTTCCCATTGGCTTGATAAATTTAATTGAACAACGTTTAAAAGGAAGACTTTACATTATTTCGACGTACGAGTAAATGATCCTAAAGTAACAACGACATATACGTTTTTACGTTCAAACAAAATGATTTGAATAAGTTCGAAGAAAAATCCTTAAATACATTTTTATTCGTTTTAAAAAAAAAGAAAAAAAAAAGAAAAAGAAAAAGTCTTCTAAAGGATTACAGTTTACAGACACTATTTACCTACTTACTTCAATGCGTTTACATATTGCAGGAAGATACTTTCAACGTTACACACGATTAACGATAAGAAAAAAGATATACACTATGAAAATTGTGGATACATTTATCGGTACATTTGACGATGATTTTAAATACTAAAACTATCGTCAATTTATCTGTTATATACTCGTTTACTATTATTAAAATATAATATAACGAGATAGATGATAATTACAATATTATATACTATTTATTGTATTTAACGTTTACTTAAATTTAACTAACATGTGTCAAAAATGTATGAAAACAAAATTAGGTATCACCTAATATTCATTTTTAAATGAAATAACACACGATTTACTTTAATAGAATATTAATTAGTAAAATCGATTGAAATTAATAGAATGTTGTTTGAACGATTATAAAAAGATGTCTCGAGAAAAAAGAACATTAAACAAAGGTCATATTAACAAAACGTATATAATGCATAAAGCAGGTGGGGTCTTTCTTTTAGCAACTCGACGACAACGCCAACGACGACAAGTAGTATGACGATTATGACGACTATGACGACAAAACTCAACGATGCTCAACTACGCACGACAATCTATTAAGAGCACCTATGAGAATCTACATGATTCCTGCATGGTGCTTTTCTCTATTCCAACCCATTGTAAAGTACTTTACAAAGGTGGAACTTTACTGGAACCAGCCAGTGAGAACACAGCAGCTTCTCCTTTCAAAGCAAACGACGGAGGAAGGATCGCGCATTTTAAAAAAAAAAAATGCTTATTCGGGAGACTGAGATTGTGTTCGTCGACAATACCTGCGCTAATTGGAGCGCGACTCCTACCGATGCGAGGAAAAAATAAAAAGAAGAAGAAGAAGAAAAAGAACTACGACGAAGATGAAGAAGAAGAAAAGGAGCAGAAAGCTATTCGAATAACGTACAGATGATTTCTTTATAAATGACACTTCCCTACTCTCTAATAACCCTGCTCTCGAGTAATACTCGTGTTGTACGCTTTTAAAAGGCTCTATTTGAAAAAAGAAGCAAATTCAAATAGGCGCCTGGTTTAACAGAAAAAGAAGAAGAAGAAGAAGAAAAAAGAAAAAACAAGATTTTATTGTATTTAACAAATAACACAAAAAGTGAACTTTATCTCTCGTTAAAAAGTGGTCTAAACGTTTCGTGTACAATACTCGTACGTGTGTATTACATTATACTTATGTTAGATATATTCTATTAAAACGTTGACTGACAATGGTTATAAGTTTAACAAAAGGTTCCGTGTAAAGTACCTACCGCATATATTATAAGAAACATCTATGATCATTTTAAATGTCGAGTAAATGAATGATGCGAGAACAAAGAAATTTCAAAGAGCATCCATTCGAAATAATCCTTATGGATTGTCAGGAAAAGCTAACAAGTCACTTGGAGGATCAACTTACTTGCATATTTATGTAATCCTTCGTATGAGAGATCATCGCTTTAAAAGAAAATTCTAACGCAATGCGGAAATGCAAGAAAGAGAGAAAGATAGAAAGATAGAAAGAGAGAGAGAAAGCAAGTAACTGGATCTCAGTGATTTCTTGAATAGGAAGAACCGATCATCTGCCGTAGACGCGAGGAATCCACAC